AAGAATGATAAAATTTAGTTCTTTCCAGGTTTGGTATTTGATGGCTGGAGTAGGCATGATTGTTCTCTGATATCTCATATTTCCTGTAACAGAAACTCTAATCCAGAGGAACACTCCCAAGAAAGTCATGAGAATTCTGCCTTCACCCTGGGAAGCCACTGAGCTGCAGGTCAGTAAATCCCCTGCCCATATAGAAGAGCCACAGCCTTCTAAGAGTATCATGGCTTGCAAAGTCAACACCAACTCTCCTTCTCACCACAGAGCCTCAGCACCAACATCCTGATCACAGGTGTGCTTTGATTAAGTGCAAATACTTGATTCCTCAACATATTCAGCTCTGAAGAGGTATATTTGCTCTTCCACCTCGCAGAGTACATCAGGGGGCTGAGGGGCCATGTATGTACAAGTCAGTTTTTGCCCAGAAATCTGCACTGCAGTTTCTCACCCACTTCTTCCTATTTTCCAAATCACTGGCAGCTTCCCAGGGGCCAAGAACACCTTTTCTTTTGGGTCACATTGGCTAAAAAAACCTGCTCTAGTTGCCCAGGCCATGGCATGATTAGCTAGGAAGGAATTGTTCCCTGTGAGGGTGGGCATGCCCTGGCACAGGGTGCCCAGAGCAGCTGTGGCTGCCCCTGGATCCCTGGCAGTGCCCAAGGCCAGTCTTGGAGCAGCCTGGGACAGTAGGGTGGGACTGGATAAGCTTTAAGGGTCAACCCAAACCACTTTGGGATTTTGTGATTCAAAGTTGGGATCAGTGTTCTTGCTCATCTTGGTCATGGTCTGGCAATGGCCAACAGCAAGACAGTGTGACAGCCCTGTCCCAAATTCAGTTTATCTCCACCAGCCCAGAGGAGCCAAGGACACAGCGAGGAGGCACTGCTTGGTGCCCTCACCCTCCAGATGTCACACAAGTGACCTGGTCAAACCATTTGGAGATGTCTTTGCACAGAAGGCATGAGCTTAATCAAAAAAGGGCTAAAATGAGCATTGCCTTCCCCTTCCTAGTCTCACTTTGCCTTGTTTTCCATTCATTCCTACAAACAGAGAGGCATTGGCTTTTCCTGGCAGGCAGCTGCCTGAAATGGCCATGCATCCATAGTGCTGCAGCAAACAGCACTAAGGCATTTGCATGAGACTGTGCACTGCCAAGCCAAGGAAAATTAGTTTACTCAGATTTTGAGCATGATGGAATACAACCTTCTAATTAGGATTGCAAGAAATGGCAAGAACTGGCTCCATTGCCCAAGGTGTCCCTGTCCTACTGCCATCTTTCATCCTGCTGACCTACCCTTCCCAGTCAAGGGTGCAGCTCTACACACCCTCAGACACTAAATGAACATCTTTCCAGCTTTGCCAATGGAAAATTTGAAGCTCTTGAAAGACCACAAATTCCTGCAAAAGGCACTGAGCTTATCATTAAATGATAATGATAATGAGCTTGGCCTAAGCACTTGATGTGGAGGATATTTACCAGCATCTTATAATTCTTCCTGTGTCTCTACTTTGTTTTATTAAGCCCCACTGGGACCAACAGGTTGGGGTTTTTTTTGCAGCCATTTAAATTCCTACTCACTGCAGGGCTCCTTAAATTAAGCATTTTCAGTTGGATTTACAGATTTATTGAATATTCTCAGCTCTACATGACCTCAAGGGAAGGTGAGGCTAGGATTTTAAGAAATTCAAATCCAAAGCAACCTCTTGTGATTGAGAAGAAGTCACAAGAACTAGCTCAGAGCACCCTAACTGTGCCCCTTGCCTGTGTGGTTCTGGGATGGGAACAGGGAATGGTCAGCTGCTGAGCTCATCCCTTCCACGAGTGATCTGGGGAGCTTGGGGAGATGAGTAATCCTGGAAGGGAAGGATGCAGGGAATATACAGAAAGTCAACAACCTTGATCCTCTTCCCTTGTCCAGTGCAGGTCACCAGGAGGGAGCCTTCCCTTCAGCAACCCACTCCCAAACCACCCTGAATTTTCCAGGGCCAAAGCAGATCCTGCTAGAGCAGCATCCCCTGCGAGATGCAGGCAACTGAGCTCTTGTGGGAAGTGCTCTAAAAATCCATCTGACAGCATTCTGAGAACTTTCCAATTTCCAGACAGACTGTATCTGTGCCACTTTAACCCCATTCTTCCTACACATACAATGTTTTTCTCCTCTGATATTCATGATTTGGATTGGGATCCTACCCCTGCAGTGCCTGGAGATTCTCAGCAGTAATTTCTTATGTCTCATGTCCACACAGAAATGTTGGGAAGCGAGACCAGAGCAATTCCAAAGGCCCAGGAGGAAGGATACACTTGTGACAACCCCCAGACAGCATTATCCAGTGGGGCCATGGTGGGACACACTGCTCTGACGAGGAGCTGGGAAAGCCTGCAGTGCCTTGCAGAATGCAGGGACATGTGACAAATGGATGGAGAGATGTGAGCACAAACCTCAACAAGGAAAATTCCCACCAGGCTATGGAGAACATTTCTTGGTGGGATCCCAGCCCCTGGAGATATTCAACACTTGCCTGGTCAGGACATGATCAGCCTCTTCCATCTCTGGAGCCTTCTAGGGGCAGAGGCTGGATGGGAGGCTCCAGGTGTGTCCCCCCTGTCCCACCTCCTTAACTCCAGAGTTCCTCTGCCAGCTCCCAGATGGGAGAAGGGCAAAAGCTCCCTGCACTCTGCACTCAGGAGAGACGCAGGCAAGGACGCCAAGATCAACTTGACCTCCAGACAGTCTTAATGCCTCTCCACAGCCTGTCCCCGAGGGAATGGCTGAGCAGTGGTGGCAGAAGCTGGGACACACAGCAAGAGCTTCATCATAAAATCAACATCTTTAATCAACTCTGTCAGTGATGAGCCCTCAGGAGGCTCTTCTCCACACCAGGAGAGGACTCCCTGGAGGCAGCTGTCCTGTTCACATAATGCAGCTCTGACATCCCAAGGACAAATGTCCTAAAGGAAGCTTGTCTCTGGCAGCACAAGACACAGGGTGTGTCCCAGCCTAGCCAGGAGCAGCCAAGCTTTGGAGGGGAGCTGTGCAAGTGTGGCTTGGCCCCAGCTCTAACACAGCACCTCATCCCCAGGTAGGAGGGTGTTGCTCCACAGCCCAGCAGCCCAGCAGCAGTGGGAACAGCAGCACTGAGCTCTCTCCTGGGGCTGAACTGAAAGCCTTTCACATCCCTAAAGCCACTTGGCTCCAGGAGAAACTGCTGGATTTTGTTTTCCCAGGAAAACACAAGGTAACCTTTCTGGAAATCAGTATCAATGTTAAGGATTGTACTGCCATGGTACCACCAGCACCACTCCAATGACATCACAGTGCCACTGTGGCACTGCCATGATACAGCAGAGTAACACTGGTCCCACAGCCCCATCAGTCTGGCACCAGAGCACATCATGGCACCACCAGCACCACCGGTCCCACCATAGTACATGGAGCTCTGATGGTACTACCATGGTGCTGTCAGAATGCCATGGAAAGGCTCCCACCCAGCTAGGAACCTCCAGGATGCAGGAAAACAGTGCAGCCCAAGGACCAAGGCAAACTGGATGGCAGGTGCTCAGCAGTCACCTCCATGGGGACCAATAGGGGGGACCCACTGCAGGGATCAGCAAGAACTGGTGCACAGCTCCCACCCTCCAGCAGTTCAGCTGCTGGAGCACCCACAAACACCCTCTGAACCAGCCACCTGCCGCCCTTCCAATCCCATCCTTCCCACCCAGGCTCCCACCAGGACACAGCACCCACTCCCTCCCTTGCCAGCCGGCTCTCCCAAAGGACACGCTGGGCAGGGCTTGTGGCAAACTGGTCTAGTGGAAGGTGGGCTGGAACGAGATGGTCTGTAAGGTCCCTTCCAACCCAAACCATTCCAGGATTCTCTAAAAACAGTAAGTCTGGCACAAGTGACCGGAGTCCTGGGATACAAAAGAGGGGTGGGAGCAGAAATCCGTCCCATTCTTCCATCCAATGTTTTGACTGTGGTGCTTCTGGCACAGCCAGGGCTGGGGTCAGAGTCTGACCAATGTTCAATGTGGTCTTTCCCTAAGCATCACAATAAACAGCCCTCCAGAACAGACCCTTAACAAACTAGGCTGCAGTGAAATCACGTTCTCCCTCTGTGGGTTTCCAGGGGCTCCGTTTCTCCCGCAGGCTGCTCCAGGCTGCTCTCCAGCTGGGCTCAGCAGCATGGCACAGCCTTGTTCAAAACACCCCTGCTAAACCCCAACCAGCACTGGTCAGCTCTTCTCCCCTGTGCTCAATAAGAAAAAGTCAAGAGCCATTTCTCCCCTATTTTTAAAGCACCACAGAGCTTCCCCCTGCTTCAGATTCCAGGAGACCTCAGGAAGATGGCTGATGTTCCCCATGGGAACGGGTGGCAAGCTGTCCTAAACAGGGTGAGCCGATGAACTTCTGTGACCTAGATCAAGGCAGTGAGACCCTGAGGAAGCCTTTTGGGCTGTTTTTAGGGAGGGGCTGCAGGGGCCAGGCATTGCACTGCCCCGAGGTGCCCGGGTGCTGCCTGCAGGGGCTGGTTCCTCCTGCAGTGGAGGTGCCCTAAGCCCTCCAGGGCTTCCCAGATAGGAGAGGGGATGCTCTGGAAGAAGGTGGCGGTGAGTCATGTCCCTGCCACTACCCGCAGGGCCATTGATGCTGCCGGAACGGGGACATGCCGCAAGGGTGGCTCAGCCTTGGCTGGTGCATGGCTGTGCCTATTCCAGGTGGGCTCTGCTCAGCGCTGGCTCCGTCAGGGCTCCGGCAAGACCTCGCACCAGCTCCTGCGTTTTCCAGGGTAGAGGTAGCTGGAAATCCCTGCTGAAGGGCAGCAAAGGCTCCTTTCTCTCGCGCGGGTGTGTGGCAGCGGCGGTGGCAGGTGCCGGCCCCACGGTTTGGGGATGGCTCAGCCGCAGCCCCGCGCTCCCAATTCCCCGTTCCCGTCTCGTACCGAGGTGACATCCTCCCGCCTCTCCCCCAGAATGAGCAGACACAGCCCGACCCCCGCCTTACCTTGGGGGGTGTCTCTGTCCGGTCCATCGCTCGCAGCGGCCTGACGAGCTCCGGTGCGGAGTGAACCCGCTGGGGGTCCGGCGGAGGGACGCGGGGGGTTCCCGAGGACTCTTCCCGGGGCTGGGGTGCTCCGTCCTGCTCCGACCCCGGGGACAGCTGGCAGCCGGCCGTGTCACCCCCCGCGCCTTCACGCGTGTCCAGGTCCGGGCGGGCGGAGGCGGCGGGGACACCGCTCTGCCCCGGGGCCGCGCTGGGCACGCCGCGCTCCGGCTCTTGCATGGCTGGGGCAGGGCTGCGCTCACTCCGCACCGGCCAGGGCTGCCCGGGGCGTCGGGAGCCGGCAAGGGAAAGCCGAAGGCATCAGAGCGGCGGCGGGAGCAGCCCGGGCCGCGCTCCTCCGCGGCGGGACCGGGGCAGGGGGCGGCCGCAGCAGCAACATCCCCGCACCGGGAATGGCTCCGTCCCGCACCGGGAATGGCTCCGTCCCCGCCCGGATCCGCGGCTCCCGTGCGGAGGCTGCTCCCGCCGCCCTCAGGCCCCCGCCGCCCCCGGCCCCATGACGTAGCGGAGGGGCCGGGGGAGCTGCCAGCCCCTCGCCGCGGCCCCGGGCAGCCCCCGGCGCAGCCGCTGCCGAGTCATCAATTCGGAACCGGGCCGGGCACCCGGGGGGGCCGCGCCGCGCCCCGGGCCGCCAATGGCGGCGGCTCCGCCCGTTTCCACGGCAACGCTGCGGGAGCGGGGTCTGGTGCCTATTGATGAGGCAGCGGCGGGGGGAGCCGCGCTGAGCCCGCAACCCCCGCACCGGGCCCGGGGAGCCTCGGCATGGGGCTTTGGGGACAGCAATGGCCCGAGCCCCTGCTCGACTCTGCCCCAGCGATGCTCGGCTCTGCCCAGGGATGCTCAGCTCTGGCCCTGGATACCCGACTCTGGCCCCAGGATACCTAGCTGTGCCCCAGGGATGCCCATCTCTGCCTCGAGAATGCTCAGATGTGCCCCAGGATGCCTGATTTGCTGCAAGGATGCCCACCTCTGCCCCGGGCATGCCCTGGGGACGCCCTCAGCTCTGGCCAGGATGCCTGGTTCTTTCCCAGGCATGCTTGCACACCTTCCTTCTGTGTGAACCAAACCTCGGTACCTCCCGGACACACCGACCTGGAAACAACCCTCTTCTGAAAAGGGCTGGGCCCCGCCTGCAGCACGCCCGGGACAAGTGGCAGAGCGTGGTGCGGGAGGGCAGGGAGAGGATGGTTGATAGGATCCTTGCCGACAGGAGTTCGCAGCATAACGCTACAGCCAAGCGGGCACCGCCATCCCCGAGCACACCGAGCAGGCAGGCGTGTACTGTACTCTGTCTCTCCCTGCCTCCTCCCTGCCCTGCTGTGTCTTTGATGAAGATCACATCATACATCAGGCTGCACCGTGTTAGTGATGCTCAGGGGAAAACCACTGGGCCACCCTGGGGGACATCTGTCTGGCCCTACTCCCCAGCCCCACTCAATGCTTGACACACTTGCAGAGCAAGGTTTGCCGATCCCAAACCCAAGAGGGATTGATGATCCCCAAACCCCTGAGGAGCTGGGACAGGTCCTGCCTCCCCACGTCCTTGTGTGTGGTAATAGCTCTCAGTCCCACTGCTGGTGCCTCCCTGCTGCAGCATTCAGGTGGCATTTGACAGCTCGCACGTGCTGCTCCCTTTGTGGAGGTGGAGCCACCAGGAGAACCTGCCTGGGGCCACCTTCTCCAGAAGAGGTCCCATGGGGGGTCTTCAGTGTTCCTGTCAGACACCACTTTGTGGGCACCTCCTTTAAGCAGCTTCTCCAGCCCATCCAGATGAGCAGATGTGTCAGCTCTTGAACACAACGCCATCAGCTCTGTGTCACATCTGCCTGAGCCCAGGCAGCACAGGCAAGGCACCATCGAGACAGCAAATTCACTGCTGACTGCCACAGGTGTAAGACCCACTTGGATGGGTCCTGTGTATAGGCAGTTTTATCAGTGGGTCTGGCAGAGTCTCTCTTATATCTGGGTGTGGCTACAAGTCACCTCTCACAGCGTGCAGGACTCTGCATCCCACCTGAATCCCATATCTCCGAGCCCATTCCTAAGAGGTGTTTATGTATGGTGGAGGGAAGCCCCAAGCTTTTCATGAGCAGAAAATGCAGCCAACAGACCACAGAGAAGATTCCAGAAAACTGATCCCACTTTCCTGTGTGTTCTGGTACTCATGTACCTTCAAACCACCAGCTTATGTGGCTCCTTCTGCTGCAGGAACAAGTCAGGGTAGATCTCACCATCTCCCACCACCAAGATCCCCTCAGTTCCTGCCCATGGCTGTTCCCCCTGGCAAGGTACCAGGCAGGCTCCACAGGTGCTGAACCAATGTGGAAGAACACGCAGGCACTGCTGAGCTCCCCAGTGAGACAGAACAAGCAGGTTTCATTAGGAGGAGTGGGAGGAGAAATGCACCCCGATAAGATCTCATGTGCCTGTCAGCCTTCTCAGAACCACCTGCTTTGTGCTTCCACTGCCCTGTGCTGCTCACAGGCCCTGCTTTGCTCATCTGGGACATGCTGCCCCCAGTGTCCCTCGAGCATCTTTCCCCTTGTCCCACTCATCTGTGCCAGACCCCCCTGGCTCCACGGCACTGCTGGGGCCTGCTGCCCTGGAGAAAGAGGGGCCAGGGATCCCCCCGACTCAAGTCGGGATCACCCACAGCCTTCAGTGAAAGCCCCAGTCAGGTGAGGTGAAGGATGGGGTGTCCTAACCTTAACCCTAACTCTAACTCTAACTCTAACTCTAACTCTAACCCTAACCCTAACCCTAACCCTAACCCCACACCATTCCTGGGGAGAGGATATCTCCTGGAGGCCCTGAGCTTGGGAAGCTGGAGATGATTTTTCACATCTTGGCCAACCTACAGCTGGATAAGTCCTTAAAGTCTTATTAAGTCTACTTAAAAGGGTTAGAGGAAAAATTTTTCTGGGCTGTTGAATACTCAGTGGATCATGAGGTCCCTGAGCTCTGAGTCATGAAGTTCTCATGAGGGCTATGGGGTGCTCCAGGTCCCCTTGGTCCTCCAAGTCACCCAGGGATCTGCTGTAGGGCTGTGCTCCCTGCAGAGGAGACCTAGAAAGATCCTTGAAACTCTCCAGGACAGGGGAAACCACAGGCTCAGGGAAAGGAGGTGACGACATAGAGAAAATTAAGAGCAACAGTGACACTGGAGAGCTCAAGATCAACAGCTCAGACGTGGGGAGACAACAAAGCATCCCAGGAAAGCCCTCCAGCAGCTCCCACTGCTCTCCAAAGGTCTCCAGGGAGCCGGGTCCGTGCCTGGTCGTGCAGGGACAGGGATCCAGTGCATGGTGCTCCCTGTGCTCTCCATCAGGGAGCAGCAAGGATAGGGCTGCACCACAGGCAGCAGCAAATGGGAACCCAAGTGTGATCCAGAACACACAGTGTCCTCAAACCCCAGGGGACTGTCCCAAAGCTTCTGAGCTGGACAGTGGTAATGGGGTCCCTGGACAGCTCCAGACAAGATCAGATGAACCAGGACAGGGACTCCAGGTAGGATCAGGAGAAGACAGAGCTGGGGCTACAGATAAGGCTCCAGCAAAGGTGCATCCAGCCAGGTGCAGGACCAGACACAAACTGGTTGGTCTGGGCTCCAGCCAGCACATGTGGCTGGAGACAAGATTCTTACAGTGATGATCCAGGGCCTGCTGAGTAGATCAGACCCAACAAAAGCCCAGCCAAGGCCTGAAGTACCAGGGCTGAGCCTCACTGATGCTCCTGGCCCAGCACCTGCAGGTCCTACAGGCAATTAAGTCCAGTTAGTGCCTGATGAGTTCTGCTGAGGTCCTCCCCTGGTTTTGGAGATTCCAGCAGGCAATGGAGTGGGCAGTGTGAGCTCTGCTGTGGTTTTGACTGGGAAAGAAGCACAGGAATGATCATGAGGGGCCAAGGCAGCCCTGAGGGAGGTCCCCAGGGTGTGGGGACAGTGACGTGTGTCAGCACTCAGGGGCAGCTCCAGGCAGGTGCCAACCCATTCCCACCCTCTTTCTAGAAGTTCCTTGGGAATGGCTTCAGCACAAGATCCCTCCTGTTTCTGTTCCTGAGCCACGCTGGTGACTGCAGGGATGTGCAGTGACACAAGTGGGCACCTGCTCTGCCAGCAGAGCCCTCCAGCTCCCATTCCCACTTCCTGAGCCTGAGGTCTGATGTGTCCTGGAGCAGGCTCCAAGGAGGAGATGCACATGGCCACATTCGCCCTGATCCTGCCATCCCCAGCAGCACATGGACACTGGCAGGGAACGGCTCCACACTCTGGAGCAGCACTGGGATGGAACCCCTGTAAAAAATAACCTAGAAAAGGAATGTGCTGGGCTGGCCCTGCCAGAGGTCACAGTGAGCCCCAGCCCTGGTAGCTGCAGACAGTGTGCTGTGGTGTGGCATGGCAACACCAGTTCAGGCACTGGAGCTGTGCAGGAGAGCCTGGAGAGAGCCTGGCGGGGCTCTGTCAGTCCCTACAGCCCTTCCAGAGCCATCCTGAGAGTTCTGGGATGGACACCCGCACCCTCCACTGCCCCCAGAGGGGCCTCAGCCCCAAACCCTGCCCTGCTCAGGGCATTTCTGGGTCAGCCTGGGTGGCATCAGCCAGGGAACAGATGAACACAGCAAGGTCCTGTGGAGACTAGGAGCTCACCTCAACAGGGACAGGACACATTTCCTTGCAGTAACCTGCTAAAATGCCCTCAGGATGGAGGGAGGGCTTGAAAAAAAATTGAGGGTTTTAATTTTAAAAAACAGGAAAAAAGTAGCAGTTTCTGTTTTGCTGCTCTCAGCAAGAACTGCCTTTCCAACTGCCTCTCCCAGCAGTGACCACGGAGTAGTATTTGTAACCACAATAGACCTTGGGCATGAAAATTGGATATTTATCCTTCCTAGTAGTTGAATCTATATTATTAGGAGGTAAATTTTCAAAGCTTTTGCATGTTAAAAATTTGAAATTGCTTTTCCTTCCCAGTGCTCACAAACTGGAAGCTGCTCAGGGCAGTCCGCAGTGGCTGCTTGGGGTTTTTTTTAGCCCTTTTTCGTTTTTACTGTTTAAAAACTTGGCTCCTTGTGACCATGACGACAGTTTTGATTTGATTTTTTTTTTCCTTCCACATCCCCTTTGGACAGCCACAAAGCCAGGGAACATGGGAAGCTGGGACAACAAGAAGTAAAACAGTCATATCTGGACAGCTCAGTGAAAGAAAAATACCACAAACTCAGTAAATCCCCCCAAATGATCCTGAGACCAGCATAAGAAGTTTTACAAAATTTAAAAACTTTCCATTTGGGTTTTAAAAAAAAAAGTATTTTTAATATTTTTTCCTACTATTTTTAGATCCTCTCTTCCACAGGCAGGAGGACATTGGGAGTCAAAGACAAAGGGATGGTGCCTGAAGGGGTTTTGGGAGCTGACATTTGGGAACAAGGACCAAACCTCCTCTGTGGAAGCTGGGTTGGTTTTAGACCCCCAGGAAACACAGGCCAGGGGAGTGTGGATGGAGGGAGACTGGGATTGTAGGAGGATTTTTTGGCTTCAC